ATTAAGATCGAAGTATCTTGTCAACTGACAGTCTCTTAGGCCATGACTAATGGAGCATACTGTTAATCATAAAGCGCGTGTATTAGGCTACGGTGAAGAAAGCAAAAGTTGGATTTTACCTGGATAGATGTTGATCTCTCTTTTCCGCCCCTTACGTGTCAGTGGCTTGTCCGACCCAAGTGATTCGAGGGTGGCAGTGGACACAGTGACTGTCCTGTCGGTTAGTTCCGTGCGCCGCCTACCAGACGTCTGCATGGCCATAGTTAGGAAACCAGACAAACTCAACGCACCCCCGAGAGGGGAACCTGATTTTTAAACTCCATTGATTCGAATGCGCCGCGTCTTGTGTAGGAGTTATCTCCGTCCACTTCGTCACTTTAAACTACCAAAGAACGGCTGCCCATTCACAATGCGGGCCACTCGACAGGCCTCTCAAGCCTCCTGATAACCTGCCTGAGGGCTCCAGAAATTACGGATGAAAACTTGTCGTCGAGAGCCTTTCTATCATCAGAACCGATACGACATGTAGCGAACCGAGCCGTCCCTCTCCCCTCCCCTCTAAGTCGAAGGGTGTTAAAATGCAAATAATGACCTCTGTCTGGTCTCCATTCGGTCGGTGAGAGTGTAGCACCTTCGAGAGGTGACGACCTTCTGGGTGGCGCGTTACGGCTACTCGCACGTGGGCATCCGCAACCGTCAAGGTCATGCGTTCCTCGCTCATTTGCGTGTGTGTCTTTTGAGACTTTAGAAATATCTTCTGTTGGTTCAATAGAATTAGGCCCAACCTCTCCTGCCATGCTTCTCTACCGATTGTTTTGACAACCCTCTTCCAGCGTTCCTTTGTCAAATCTACGAATGCTCACTTACAGTGAGACAAACAACCAATTTTGGTGTGAATTTGAGAGGTCAGCTTCTCTTTGATGGTATTTAGTGCAATCCCTACCTTCATGTTTCCTCGGCCTCGAGATTCTCCACCAGGCATTGACGTTTATCCCACCGGTGACCTTACAAAATTTGCGTGTAACATGAATTCATGATCAACGTACCGTTAGAATCCATCGACAAGTCGGGGAATTAATGACAAATTTCAGGGTAAAAGGCGGTAAGAATTCTCAGATGGTGTTTCTTGAGTGAAAGCTACTCAAATCTTCAGTCTAATGCGTCTCGTCAAAATTAAATGATAAGTTTTTTTTTCGATATAAAACGCCCATTCGTTAGAGTTCCTGTTTGATGTTCCAGTACTACAGCATAACGCAGAGGGAGTTCACTTTTCGACTTCACCAGCAGATAAAGGTCGCCAGTCGCAGATACAGGCTACGCAGGTGGGTTCTAGTCAGCTCGTGAAGCATGCGGATGATCGACATCTGGTTGGTGGAAAGTCTTGCACGGCTGCCCTTAACACCGTCCTCGGATATCCCATGGGCTAGAGAAGGGCTGTGATATTCTTTAACCGCTAGCACAAGTTTTGGATTGTCGTTTTGGGGAAGCCAGCAGGTAAAAGCCCAGCACCTGTCTGTTTATCACATTGAGAAGTAACATACACACTTAGGGATTTTATTGACTTTTTTCATTTTGAAGTTGCCGACTCTGGTCCTGTTGTCCTCAGCCCAAGTATTCAATTGGAAGAAGGTAAGAAGAATGACCCATTTTCGGCTTATGGTCTGTTTGCGGTTTATTCTTGGTGTCTGGCATTGGACAGTCCGCATTTATCAGCTATCTTCGTACTCTGCTTCGCGAGAAATCTAATTATTGTGTCTATAACTAGTAACAAATCTGGTTTAACCAAAGTGGACAGCCCCCATCACTCAGGTGGACCAATCAACGCCTGTTTTACATATATAGGCAAAAATCTTTATTTTTGGTTCAATTTTATTATCTTCACGTCAACTTTGTAACTCTTTTGACCACCTCGCATCTGTCCTGCATGCCGTGGCAATACTTCGAGGAGAGGTAAGATACCGTCGCCATGTCTGTTCGAACAAGATCCAGTTCGGTGTCCAGAATCTTGGGGTGGTTCCAGTATTTGGGCTAGATAAAAAACAGCAAAATAGGGCGACAATTCCAGCATCAAGTGATGCTTTTCGACTACTGAAATTTACTTTTATTAAAAGAACAGCCTGCTCATAGTGACACTGGTGTACTGCATTAAATTCTCAAATTAAGAAACGTTTTTAGTCATGAAACTTTCTAATATATAGAAATGTCTACTAACATTACGCATAATTTGTCTATTTGTTGGTGCTGCTCATAAATTATTCGACGTTTTTCATATCCATTTAGGTTTTTATGTGCCTTGTATGCTGCCTTCTTAATAACGTAAGGGAATGCATTATTTTTTTTTAAATAGAACGTTTACACTTTGTAGATGGAAAACCCTGAACGCTAGTACAACGATAGATCAGGTTCAAAATGATTCAGGAATTAGAGGAAATGTCTTAAAGCAAAAAGTATCGTTTCTTAGAGAAGAAATTAAGAGAGCATAATTAACGTTAAAGGGAGTACAGGAAGTGATATTTTTGTGGAAGGACATTTTTGGGCAAGAGGTTAGACTGCCTCGTGAGTAAAGGGATTCTAAGGGCACCTATCTGAATGTACATTTAACAACAGATTTCCCCTTGAATCACTAACTTAACCAGTAGCTGAATTGCCCTGAGCATCGTTTCTTTATAAAGTCTTCATCGTTTTTTTTAAAAAACAGAAGCACGACAGTTAGAAACTAGAATAAATTAACAGCCCACCGATAAGGTTACTATTTATAGTGCAGGCTGTGCCGTACCACCATGGAAAAAGGTATTTTTACGGTCTCAGTTGTTCCGTTTTTATAGGCTAAAACGCATACTACGATTGTGCATCCGGCTTGCGGAGACCTCAGATCTCAAAGGAAGAATTCAACTTAAACCAAATGTCTGCCCGTGATCTACCTTTTCGGACGCACACTGACCCAGGGAAATATCAAGAAGGGCCGGCGAGATTAGGGCGGCCGTCTTTGCCTTATTAGTCGACCTCAGCCAGCCATACCCAACCACAGGTCTAAGTACCCTTGGATTCGAAACCGAATTTTTTAGTCCAACCCCCTTGCATTGGACCACTCACCTGTTTTCTTGTCAGTTGTGATCGGGAATATTATCCATCATCGCAAGAACTTCACCGATCGGGTTAGTGGACATGCTTGCCCTGTTATGCCTTGTGGCCCAATTGAAATCCCCCAAGGGCAGTCGTATAGCGATAAGTGATTATGCCGGAATGGGCACCGACAAGTACAAGGGAGAATGAAATGACCGTTTCCAGTTTGTTGGCTGTTATCAGTCGACCATGCCCCCCACCCAAGGCCTTGATTGCTCTGTGGTTTAGGTCCCGATTCATTGATCACTGAGCGTTAACTCCAACTTTCTACTGTTGGACCACGAGACTGTTGTCCTGTCGGGGTTACTGAATACTGCAACCTGATTGATAGGAATTATGCGTATACATCTCGTAGGGTCGATTTAAGACTGCCAATGCTGGGAACTTGGAACAGCCTCTTTAACCGTCGTAAATAACCACCTCCACCAATGGCGCATGGGATGGGAGCAGCATGGGTGTCTTGTGCGTGTGGAGTGGCGAACTTGCGCAGCATCTGCCTCACTCTCTCATGGAGGTAAGCGGGACCGTAGTGGCTGACGAGGCTAAACAACTCGGCTACGCGTGTCCCACTCGACCCAATCTCCACTCCTCATGCACCGGACTTCTAGCATATAAGAGCATGAGACAGGACAACGCCACAGGTTTCCGAAAAAGAAGGCTTCAGACGATTTCTATTTCCTACGATCTCAATAACCTTGAAATTGAGATGAGTCTGATCGAGAGGCAGTTCTTGCAAATGATGGTTTGCCGAGCTACTCTGCTCAGTTTGAGTAATCATTTTTCGACATTTTAGTTCAAAACCCTATAAGTGTGTTTGGTAAAATAAGGTGTCATTAAGTTATTCGCTCTAAAATCCAATTTTAAGATTCATTTCAAGCATATTTTCTGTTCATTTAAGTCCACTGTCCCCTTTTGAAAGCTAATTAATACATTAGTACGGAAGAAAACACCGAATACACGATTTTAAAAATGCCTAAAGTAACAAATAAGTTAATTTGCAACCAGTCTTGAAAAAAAAAACTTGAAAAACAAACAAAATAAACAGACTTACATTATTGGCATCTGAAAATAAGGAGAAACAGACTTTAAGTCCCCTATTACGGATGAACACAAATCAGAACACAATAAACCGACAAACTGGTTCGGCACATCTTAAAAGAAATCTGTTCAGTCATCGTAAACTGTGCACATTCAGTCGATCCGAAGGACTTCGAAATTTATACGATGCAGATTTGATTTGAGGGTCTAATATTCTTTTGCATGTCAAATATAGGGTTTCGATTTTTCTTGCGTCTAGCGAAATGTACTTGATGTTCTTCAAGGCTTCTTTAATCACTTTTTGCAGTTTATATAATTTAGAGTTGCGAAAATCCCCTTAGCTATATTCAGAAGAAATGGTGGCGAGCGAACGTTGCTTTCGATGACTTCTCGTCAGGCCAGTACAGTTATATGGGACGGGGTACAGTGAGAGAAAAAAATCGATAAAAACTAGTTTTTTTAAATGCAGGCTAGGCGTGAGCGGAAGGGCGCAGAAAGTTGCATTTGGTTAGTCAACCTTTGACCACGGTAAGCGAGGAGTCTGAATGAGGTTCTTGTGGGTGCATAGGGTCGGTTTTCGTAACCTGATGGCGGCCAATTCTGCTGTTAATAACAGACGCTGGCCCGGTAACTTGGGGTAGCCCGAGGGGACCTTATTAATCACACGAAATGCCTCAGCGGGGTCCACACGATGCCCTGAATCCACTGCATGCGCAAGGAGGTCGCTGTCTATTTTCATAGTTTCACCTTTTGCAACCCATGCGGGTAGGTGCTCTCGTATTCTTTTGGAAAGGCGCCGACTTGTACAACCAATATATAAATGTATAATATAGTTTTCTTTAGTACTTTGAGAAGAACTCGCCTGCTTTAGAAGCCGGAGCGGTGAAGAACTTTAGATATGGCGATGTCGGCCCCAGGGGGATTTTGAATCTGTCAAAGTAGTCCCTCTCCACAGGCTGACAGACCAGCAACTCGACCTTATCCTTGTCTGCGTCTATCCAGGCAGCGAGTTCGTTGTAAGTGTGGTTTTCTGAGAGGGAGAGAGAGAGAGAGAGAGAGAGAGAGAAAGAGAGAGAGAGTATTCAGGCATATGTGTGAACGTCAAAACACCTACCGGTTGACCTTCCATTCACGGCAAGGATAATGTCCCCGCGAAAAAGGCGACCGAAGGCCGCAGGCGAGTCCTTTTCAATGAGAGAAATGAAGAAGACGTTTGCTTTCTGTTGCATGACAAATCCATAGCCCCAAAAGGAGGGCCATTTGCGGAGGGTGCAGCAGCGACCGCCTAGGAACATGCTCTCTCCCCTCAAAGAACAGTGGAGCATGCAGACCCGGTAGTTGTAGGTGATTTATATGTGATGAGATATGCAGAGCTAGGGCCTTTGCCGTTTGTTCCCTCAGCGGCGGTGAATTTCGAGGTCTGGCATGTTGGTCAGGGCGCCATCCAATGGCCTTGGGTTTGCACACAGACAACACACACACACACACACACACACACACACACACACACACACACACACGCACGCACAGACAGTCCCTGGTCCGTTTACATTGTGCTAGGGCTTTCACCACCGAGTAACAAGGACCACGATATGCTTTTCCGCTGAATCAAAATGTGCGAAGGATAAATTGACGAGAGGAGGTGAAAATGGGTGCTTCTTTGTGTGAGAGGGAGTAGCCTTAGTGTTTTCAGTGGTGTCTGGCGCTGTTGGGTGAGACCAGTACGAAGATCAGGTGAGATTTGGTCCTGCCGTCCCGCCTGAGTGATACCATATGGCTAGGTTTCTAAAACAAAAATTCGTAGAAGCGAATGCGCTGACGGCAACGGCTGGGTGCAGGTCCCCAAACACACACGGCCAGCCAAAGGTGCCTGCCCTACTGGAATGGCGGTAATAGGGGTTTTAGGGGCAGGGCTTATATATGCGTATAGGAATGGCAATATAAGTATAGATAATTAATAAGTTAGTTTTTGGGGCGAAAAAGTTTTAATGCATTGACAGATAGCATACGAAATTAGGCAAGACAATTAAAAAATAAATATTAAGGGTCTACAACGATCGCTTCTCAACTCTCTGAGCTAAGGTCATTGTAGATAATGCACCAGACCGTCTACAACAGACAACCCAACCTTGTACACCAAACCGAAGTAGTCGTGTTGGACTAAAACCCACTTTAATAAGTACAGAAGGTATTCTTTGTATGCCACAGATGTGTGGGGGCCTTCACCCGACCCTTACCACGCTGGCTTTACAAATATCACGTAATTGCATCTTCCTTACCATTTTACTCCAACGAGTGACTGTGCCACGGGGAGAGGAGTGCATATACGTCAGCCTCGGTTACTTCAGGTATCAGTTCACACGCGCTCCCCTGCGCGTGCTTCGAGCCCTGCTTACGCTCACTTTTTTATCTTAATCCAGCAGGCGGTCGCGTAGACTTGCTAATGGAATTGTTCGGACGGTGTGGATCTCCGCCGGTTCCATTACAGTGGCCATGCATAGCAAATTACCCCGCAGTTCCCTCCGTCGCCTTCCAGTTGTGATTGCGCCCCCCCGTATCCTCTTAGTTCAGAGAGTGACTGTGTCGAGAGGAGAGTGTATACACATCACCTTCACTCGCTTCCCTGCGCCTGCTTCGAGCTCTGCTCTTTAGCTCTCTTTCCCTTCCTAATCCAGCGAGTGGCTATGTGAGGTATGCTAACAAATATTGCCTTAGTAGGCTAACCGGGGGTTGACCGGCGTACATCTCACATGCGTGAGAGTGCAGTAGGTAACGGTGGCAAGGAGCCGTTCCAGCCTGGCTCTCGGCCCACCAGTTCACCACTCCTCACAAACACTCACACAGCTGGGCCGACTGCGTGGACTGAGTGGGGGTGTCGGTCAGCAGCCTTCCAAGACACGGTGCTTGACGCACCGTGATAGTCTCGGACTCGGATCAAACATGCAGCAGAGGAGCCGGATGGAGACTGAGTCGAGATGCACACTTCCCACTTGCGTGGAAGATGGCAGTCGGATGCTTGTGGTGGGTGATTATGTTGTTTGATGTAGGTGGGGGATGATGTGATGTTGTGGCTTAGTGGCGGTTGTCTACCGCAGGTTTCCGAGAATGCGCATACTGACATCAGTACAACAATTTAAAGTAGCTTTATCTGCTAGGCCAGCATCTCCGTCATTGAAAACAAAAGAGCAATTTTCGGCAAGGTTTGGTTCTGCAGACCCACATCATTAATACCATATGCTCAGCTTCCTAAAACAATTTTAGTAGATACGAGTATGCTGTCTTCACAAATATCACGTGTTTTCGGCTTCTTTACCATTTTAAATCAACGATTTACTGTGCCACGGGTGAGGCATGCTTATACACTATCCTGGTTTATATCAGGGATCAGTTCACACGCGTTTCACTGCGCGTACTTCGAGCCCTGCTTGCGCCCTCTTTACTATCCTAATCCAGCGAGTGGCCAGGTAGATTTGCTAATGGTGCTGAACTCCTTCGTTTCCACTATGGTGGCCATGCACTGCAAATTACCACGTGGTTCCGTCCGTAGCCTTCCAGCTGTGATTGCGCCCTCCTCATCCAGTGAGTGGCTGTCTCGCGGCAAGAGTGTGAATACGCCACCTTTACGCGCTTCCCTGCGCGTGCTCCGAGCTCTGCTTGCGCTCTCTTCCCCTTCCTGTTCCAGCTAACGTGTGGCTAAGTTAGGTATGCTAACTAAAATTGTTTTAGGAAGTTAATCATACGTTGTCAATCGAGCGGGGGCTACAGAACCAAACGTTGCCCACTTTTTGCTAGATTCGATTTGCTTGGATGTATTATTGAGGCGTTTTGTAGGTTGGCAGTACACAAACGCCTGAATATTCAGCATTTTCAAAACATCTGTTTACCTAGCAGAGCTGTCGGATTTGAAGCCATTTGG